GAAAAACAAAAATGTGAATAAGAGATATTCGCTCCTATTTTGGTGGGGGGCGGGGGGTTGCAACATTATTTACAATAGCCACAGTATGGACAGGAAAAGACAAACACGATATGATTTCACTTTTATGTGGAATCTAAAAATAAATGAACAAACTAACAAATTCAGAATCTGAAATATAGAGAGCATATTGGTAATTTCCAGGAGGACAGTGGGGGTTTAGGGTTAGGAAAAGGGGATCAAGAGGGACAAATGTCCATTTATAGAATAAATGAGTCATGGAGATAAAAAGTACAGCATAGAGAATATTTTATTTTATTTTATATTTTTCAGTGTTCCAAGATTTCATTGTTCATGCACCACACCCAGTGCTCCATGCAATACGTGCCTCCTTACTATCCACCACCAGGCTCACCCCACCCCCACCTCCCTCCCCTCCAAAACCTTCATTTTATTTCTCAGAGTACACAGTCTATCATGGTTCGTCTCCCCCTCCAATTTCCGCCAATTCACTTTTCCTTTCTAATTCACTTTTCCTTCTCCTAATATCCTCGTTATTCCTTAACTTTTCCATAACTGAAATTAAATAATGAATTGTTACTGTTTATTGGGTTAGAAAAATCCAACATTGTTATGTAATCTTTTTCCCAGTAAGCAAACTGTAATAGATAGCATTACTTATTTATTATTACCATTTATTAATAACATTTTTCTTTTACTGATTTAATTTTCTAAATTTTATTTTTTATTGAAGTGTACTTAACATACATATAATTAACATACATACTAATAGTGTAGCCCTTTGATTCAACAATTTTACATGTTAGTCAATGCTCACAAGTATCTGAAACCGTATGACAATTGACTTTCTCTGCTTGACTTGTTTCACTTCGCATGATGTCCTCTTGATTTCAGGTCAGGTCATGATGCCGGGGTTCTGGGAACAAGCCCTGCTTTAGGCTCCCTGCTCAGCAGGGAATTTTCTTCTTACCTTCTGCCACCATCACCGACCCCCTCACATGCAGTCTCTCTCTCAAATAAATAAATAAATCTTTTTTAAAAAATGGGAATGGTAAGTAAACACTGCTTTTGTGGCTTGTTTTTCTGCAAAGGCAATTTATACCTTTTTGTCAAATTTTTAAATGAATTCTGTTGATAGGAATGGCACATATCAGCAATGTTTAATAATTTTATTATTTTATTTTATGACACTGTTTTTACAAAGAAATAGACCCTAAATTTTTCTATGGTACCTACTTTAAGATTAAGAAAAATCATTTATGAAAACCAGGTTGAGTTTAAGTTCCTTGAACTTGAGAAAACATAAACCTTGGAAATATACAAAGCCTGTACCTGTTATTGCATGCAGCTGTATATATAATGTCAATAGTGAATCATTATGGAAGCTACAATTAAGATGTTATCAAATATGTTTGATATTTTTTTGTTTTCCGTGTTTTAATCTAGATACTAATTGCCAGGGAAAGAGACTGTACTCAGTCTTGATTCAATGTCATGCTCAGACTATATCCTACAGCCATTCATAGTATATTTCAGAATTTCACTTGTAGTAGCCTTTCTATATCTAAGTTTGTGCTCATTGGACTACCTGGAGGGGGGAAAAAAAAATAGAGGAGGATGAAGCCTGGTTTTTCAAATAACATCACTTCCCAATATAGCTTTCTCCGAAAGCTGTCCCTGCCCCTGGCTGATCTGAGATGTTGCTAAGATAGATGATCCCATAAATTGCCAAGGCAGTCTTAAGGATTTGCTGTAATTAGTGTCCATATTTGCAAAGTTTTCGTTTTGTGCTGTGGCAGTTTACCACAAAAGGAATTTTTTCCTTACAACTGCAAAGCTGTAATTGGATCAGGAGTTTCTATGTTTGACTCAATATAAGTTACTTGACACACTATTGGATAATCAAATGGACAGCAAACTCTAGTGACAAATGAGAAGTTTTGTGATTATGATCAAATTGAATTTATATTTCCCCAGATTATATAAATAGATGCATATTCTTTTAGTTAGGATCCTACGCACAGAAAAAAAAATTAGTACGTGTTTTAAAGAGTACTTACTTATCTTAAAGTTGAAAGTTTACACAATTCTTCCTTTCTAAAATGAGCATTGCTGGAGGGGTGGGTGGGGGTATGGGTAACAGGCATTAAGGAGAGTACTTGATAGAATGAGCTCCGGGTGTTACGTGCAACTGATAAATCACTAAATTCTACCCCTGAAATTTCTAATCCACTATATGTTAACTAAATTGAATTTAAATAAAAAATTTAAAAATAAAATGAAATGAAATGAGGATAGAGATGGGTCTACTTCTGTAAGGTTGTGATTACTAAATGGGTAAATGCATGTTATTTAATTAGAACAATTTCTGGAACATAGTAAGAACTTGATAAATATGCAATATTGTTATTATCGCTAATTTTACATTATAAATCTTTGGCTTTTAAAGCTGATTGTTCATTGAGCAGATATTTAGCAGACTGACCAATTTCCAGATACTTTTCTAAATCTGTTTCAAAAAGCATGCCTACTGCAGAGGCCAATGTAGAAAAAAAGTTGTTTAATATGGAGCATGCTCAACATATCCTAAAAAAAATCTCACAGGGGCGCCTGGGTGGCTCAGTGGGTTAAGGCCTCTGCCTTCGGCTCAGGTCATGATCCCAGGGTCCTGGGATCGAGCCCCGCTCGGGCTCTCTGCTCAGCAGGGAGCCTGCTTCCCTTCCTCTCTCTGCCTGCCTCTCTGCCTGCCTGTGATCTCTGTCAAATAAATAAATAAAATCTTAAAAAAAAAAAAAATCTCACAGCTTGGTCCATTCAGGCTTACATGGTATTGTATCATTGAGAGTTTCAAAGAACTGTATCACAGGGTGATCATGTTCCTCAGGAATCATACAGGATAGCAATTAGTAACTAAGATGTTCATCTTGCTCTGTGGTGAGAGATGGCGCACTGATAAATTGCGTATGTTAGACTTTGAAAAGTTTTATATTGAAAGCTTTCCTGTGTTGCCCTAATTCTGCATTATGTCTGGTTTTAGCTGTGTAGTGTTCCATGGGGAACTAAAATAATGTTTCTTTCCAAATGTAAGAACTGTAGGCAATGTTTATTGACTACTATGTATTAAGATTCTAGTTCAACATAAAAGGACTCATATATATATAATACATTTTATAAATAAGAAAACTGAGGGACAAAGCGTGTCTGTGTGTGTGTGTGTGTGTGTGTGTGTGTGTGTGTGTGTGTGTGTGATCAACAGGATTTTCTTTAGGCAAGTCATTTAACAAAATAATTATTCTAAATTCTGGCCAGAAAAGCTTTGCATCTCTGGAAGAGAAAGTTTGTTGGCATAGCAAAAATGATGAAGGAAGTCTGCCATATTTGCCAGGGTATTTGGACTATATTTCTGTTACAGTGTTAATGCTACTAGGCCTTCTCCTATCAGTATTTGTGAGCTCATTTCATCCCTTTGGTAAGTTCTAAATTTCTTTAGGATGGGAACTTACTGCTTTTACCAGGGCATGGAATAGTACTTACCCTAATGGGTGATAAATAAATATTTACTAAATTGATTAAAATATCTCCAAGCTAATTTTTAATCATTATTTTTAATGAATTAAAATTTTTAAAAATCACCCTACTTATTTCAATAGCAATACTCTTCCAGTAAATTTATGTTTACTCATTACAGAAAATGATTAGGAGTTGTAATCATAAAGGTACTAGAATAAGATTACTAGAATAAAGTTACTGTGAGTACTGTATGCCCTGCAAAGAATATTTATAAATGTGTGTATAGGAAGAAAAGAAATTAAGTACACTCTTAATATTTTGAAGATAATAAGGTAGAATTTGTCATATTAAAGACTGTTAAGCGAAGGAAATGATTTGGGTTTAAAATGTACATGTTTTGGGGACGCCTGGGTGGCTCAGTTGGTTAAGCAGCTGCCTTCGGCTCAGGTCATGATCCCAGTGTCCTGGGATCGAGTCCCACATCGGGCTCCTTGCTCAGCAGGGAGCCTGCTTCTCCCTCTGCCTCTGCCTGCCATTCTGTCTGCCTGTGCTTGCTCTCTCTCCCTCTCTCTCTCTCTGACAAATAAATAAATAAAATCTTTAAAAAAAAAATGTACATGTTTTGGGGGCACCTGGGTGGCTCAGTGGGTTAAAGCATTTGCCTTTGGCTCAGGTTATGATCCCAGGGTCCTGAGATCGAGACCCACATTGGGCTCTCTACTCAGTGGGGAACCTGCTTCCTCCTCTCTCTCTGCCTACTTGTGATCTCTGTCTCTCAAATAAATAAATAAAATCTTTTAGAAAATAAAATGTACATTTTTTTCAAATGAAACTCTATTTAATAAAAATTTTCCTTAGAAGGGGCGCCTGGGTGGCTCAGTGGGTTTAAGCCTATGCCTTTGATTCAGGTCGTGTTCTCAGCGTCCTGGAATGGAGCCCCTCATTGGGCCCTAGCTCAGTGGGGAGTCTGCTTCCTTCTCTCTCTCTGCCTGCTTCTCTGCCTACTTGTGATCTATCTGTCAAATAAATAAATAAAAATTTTTTAAAAAGTTTTCTTTAGAGAACAATTTAATAATTTTTAAATTAGTATATTGTTAAGCATATCATATGATTTCATTTAAAAATGGTTTTGGCAGACTCAATAGACACAAAAGTCCAGATTCCGATTTGAAGTATAAAATCAGTATTCAAGTTTCCAATTCATTTTTTAATATAAGCATTTTTCAAAAGTTCAGTTTCAGTGACTATATATAGTCAGTGTTTTACTTTACCAAACTCATGTATAAACTAACACAAAAAAAGATTTGAGATACTATATTTTAAATCTGTCTAAAGCAATACTGTTATTTTCTTGCCAAAACACCTTGTTTGTAGTTTGTAAATTCTAAATTCTCTCAAGTGATATGAAATTTTATATTTAATTCACAAACAACATGGGCTTTTGAAAAACATTTTATTGGATTCTGGTGGTATTTTTTTTTTTTTTTAACAGAATTTACTGGTAAGCCTACTGCAGGAACAAATCATTGTGTACTTGCATTATTCCTAAAAGGAACTGAAATAGCTACTCCTCTCATTTTCTGATCTTTTAATCCTGAAAAAAAGAGCAAAAGAAACATTTAAAGTATTTTACAAATATTTTTAGAGAGTACATATAGCCTCAGTTTTACTTGAAAAATGTACTACAAATTGAGTTGAACTTTATAATCTCCAAACTTTGTTGTTTCATTGTTGTTAGATATGAGTTGTCCACGAAGGTAGCCCCTCCCTCCCTCCCTTATATAATGTTAAAATTACAACGGGTATCTTTCTTTGAGTACTTCCTGCCCGCTAGACTCTCAGTTATTTTATTTTATTTCTATAAATTAAATATAAATAAATATAAAATAAAACTCTAAGAAGTTATCCCTTTATAATCTAAATTTGGAGAAACACATGGAGAAATTATGTTTTAAATAGCTGAAACTATGTATCCAAAGTCACCTTTGTGTAAATAGTTTTGATATGTTATGAACACACAGCCTTATTTATTATTAAACAAAGAAATGTACTTTCTATATAGCTTATAGATATATATATGTATATATATATTCTATATACATTATCTAGAATCTGTATCTCTTCATTAGAGAACATAAAGTGTAGACTAAAATAATTGACTACAGGAGCACCTGGGTGGTTCAGTCAGTTAAGCAGCTATCTTTGGCTCAGGTCATGACATTCTCTCTCTCCCTCTGCCCCTGTCCCCCTGCCCCTGTTTGTGCTGTCTCTCACTCTCTCAAATAGATAAATAAAACCTTTTAAAAATTGCTCTTTCCAAACTTCTTTAAAACAAATAAATAAATAAATAATTGACTCTAGCTACTGCATTATGTGTTACACAATCAATTCTCAAAAATTCAGTTCCACATCATAAATATACTCATAAAATTCTATACTGCAGATAACATAATTTTTAATTATGTAAAAATGGAATGTAAAAATTGTAAATGTAAAAAATTGTAAAATGTAAAAAAGTATAAAAATTGTTTTATTATTTGTACTATAAATACAAACGCTTGAACAAAGCTTTTAAAGTTATCCGATCCATCGCCTTTGCCCATTTTAGAGATGAAAAATAAAGACCATAAATCTGAAAGAATTTTTGTAACAACATTTTCTTCTTTGGGGCTAAGCTAATATTAGAACCTACATGTTCTGGCTACTCACCCAGGCTACTTAAGCCTTCATTGCTTCTAAGTAGCAAAGCACTAACTGCATTTGTAAATTGTAGAATTACATAAACTTCCATACACAGCCCTGAGATTTAATGAGAATGGATGACACTCACCCTGTTGTATTTCTAAATCACTTGTAAAATTTCCACTAATGAAAGATTATTTTAAGCTAAAACTTGGAAAAGTTATTATAGTAAATTAATCTATTCATCTATTAATTCTAGCATTCATTGCTAGGATTGATGTTAGGATCAAATGCTAAAATCTGTCCAACTTAGCTGACTTCAGTTACACCGAAAACTGCCTTACATAGGTCTCTCTTAGGTATTTAAAGAAACTTCCCACATACTATGTTTTATTTTCTGTTTTGCATTCTCTTCACTCCCAAAATTACTTTTAGTATCCTTTAGTGTAATTCTAGCTGCTGTTCCTAATGAAATGATTGAAAGCTAAGGAAGACTGTTGTTCCTCATACTGTTGGCCATAAAATGAAAGCATTTTGGTAGTCTATATTGTTGCCGAAATTCAAAATTATATAGATATTGAACCTACCATAAATATGCCATGTAGATAAATACTATTTCCAAGGTGTCACAGTGGCTTCAAGGGTTACTCACCACTTCCTCCCGCTTGGTCTTGTCTGTTGCTGGCCAGGCTTCCAGAGGCAAGTCAGGAAGCATGGGGGGCAGGGGCTGTATGGGGAACATCGGAGGCAGAGGTGGCTGTGGTGGCAGGGGCTGGATGTGGTGCACGGGTGGCTGGGGCTGGATGGGCTGGTGAGCCTGTGGCTGGACAGGCTGGGGCTGGAAGGGCTGCTGGCCTGGCAGAGGGAGGTTTGGCTGGTGGTGTTGGGTTGGAGTCATGGAGTGTTGGCCAGGAACAGGCATCATTGGTTGCTGGGGGACCATGGGCTGCTGAGCTGGCATCACAGGGATGTGGTGATGAGGCTGTAGGGCATGATTCGGGAGATTCTGCTGAGACAGCATGGGAATGATTTGGTGGTGCAGCCATCCACCCATGGGTTCGTAACCATAGGAAGGGTACTGGTGAGAAACAAAGAGTCAGGTTTACCATTGGCTCCATTGACTTCCAGCTGGAAAAGTAGTCATGTTTTCTTTGTCATTAGGGTAATATGAATATTTATTCGTTTTTCCTTGTATAACAATTTCTAACTGTTCACATGATATGACCTTCATATGATATGAAACTAGATTTCACATTAGTATCTGTATGTGGCAAAGGTATATTATTTCACTTAAAAGAAAAATGAAATACATGCTTAAAATTCTAAGGAAATAAAGAACAAAAAGTCTGCATACCGGATGCCTTATGTTCTGGTACCATTTCAGAGGTGTAAGGACCTTAAGAGAAAGAGACATTAGAACACGTTTGTCTGAATTTAGTTGCATGAAATGCAGACTCACTAATGCAGTCTTCCCAGAATTGGGAGCCTGAAAATGTGAGTTCTACAGAAGAAAGAACAAGATAAACATTTGTCAGATACTTCCTATGGTGAGGCAGTGTATTACATCCATCACATACATTTCTCATGTTTTCCTACATACTCTAAGGCAAATCTCATTACTGTCACTTTTACAGACAAGGTCATGTGGAGTTAAAGAGGCTTATAATCTTACTGAGGTGATTCTGTTTAATTCCCCAGCTCCTGTTCTTCTTTGCAAGAGCAAAACAAAACAAAAAAATTAATGTCACATAACATTAGTTATATCTCTTTTGTCTTGATGTCACAATGAAAAAATGAAAGTGAAACATTGTGTCTCAATGTAAAACACAGATTTTCTGGTCAAATATGTCAACCTTTGGAGATATAACAAAATCTTGCCTCAAATTGTTAACACTTTTCATCAGTTTGTATAAGTAAACAGATTCATGAATTATCTTCTGAACCTATGAAAGATCTTAGTTTCATTTCTTCAAAAATAAAATTGTACTTGAGTAACCTCAGGTCCAGGGATACACTCATGTAGTAGTATAGCATTTATATCAGTACAAGAAACAATTACTACACTTGCTCAAGTTACATTTGACAAAGCACTTTTTATATAGCTTAACTATTTCACTCCTCAAACTATTTGAAGTGTGGGCATTATAATTATTTCCCTGCTTCTGGTAATGAAACCAAACAAAGCTCCTGAGACAAAAACAATTTGCCCAAGTTCCTATGGCTAAAATGTAGTTGAGAAAAGCTTTCAACCTGATTCCAGAAAGCATGCTTTCCATTGCTGTGAGAATGTCTCATAGACTTCTTGGTCATTGAACATTCAGTAAAGAGAAACAAGGGAGACACACAGAGTGTGAACATCTTAGAATCATGAGTTTTTAACTGTAAAGGACCTTAAATAACATCATACCTGACTTCCCCACCTTTTATAGGACTGGAATAGAACAAAGCTGTCCAGCCAGAGCACTTTCTGCACTACCATGCAGCCTCACCCTGAGTGGTAGTTCATGACGGATAGCTTTATAGCCATAGAGGAGAAACTGAGTCAAAGAGGCCAAGTAGAAGTATGCTGGGGCAGTGCAGGCTTGAGGCAACCCAACAAATGAGAAATGTGGTAACATGAACTGGAAAAGTGGGACTGAGAAATATCTTGAAGAATCAACACAGTATTCTTTGCGGACCCCAGAACATTGTTAACTCAAACTATGGTCAAAATTAATAAAGAGAAAAATTACCTCATAGCTGAAGTTGATATAACCAGGGTGTCCAGGATGAGGTGGTAGCTTTTATGGAGGGGAAGGAGGAGAAGAAGCAAGAGGGAGAGGGAGAGAAATAGCAAGGGAGAGGAAGACAGAGGAGGAAGGAGGGATATCAGAGAAAGAGAGGGAGAGATGAGAAGAAATTAAGTCAATATGCAATTGTCCACATTAAGAGAAACTACTTTATAAAAATCTGTACAGTGCAAAATACATTTGAAGTCTACTTTTGTTTGAACACGTATGCTGTGTAGGAGCCTTTTAAAGAGGTCCAGGACAACTAAACGACTTTCCCAAGACCTGGAAACAAAAACCAGTGCATATTTAGCCTCCAGTGATCAGACAACGCCCACATCCTTATGGTCAACTAATCCTACTCTGTCCCATCCACCGTTTTATATCTTAATGAAACTCACTCCATTTTGGAAAAAGAGATTTATTGCTCTTACACAATTATGAAATAGCAAGAAGAGGAGAACTGTCTCACAAATCTTTTCTTACAGATAAGAGGTAGATAGTGATTAGTTATCAAAGAGGTTCCTTACAAATATCATGCAAACCACATTAACAACAACAGAAGAAATAACTACCTGTGAGTTATTGATGAATATGAAAATATGGGTGTGTTAAAGTGGAAACATTATCAATCCCTTGGAAAGTGAAAGAGTTGATTCATGAAATTTAAATTGATTCTTTTAATTATTCTATCAAAGTTTTTATGGCAGAAAAAAGTTAAAGTTCAAAATAAAAAAGAGCCTAAATAGTTATCTGCACCAGGACTGTCTGTCC